TTGCGCATTCCTGACCGTTGACAGTTTTAAGGTCTTTATATCTGTAGGACCCCGAACATGGTGCAGCAGCAATCGTAAACAGAAACATTCAAAATTAGTTACATGGACGGTATACACACGACCACGAGACACGACGACGAGGGCATCTGATGACTTTACACCGGGCCAATTTGCAACAGGCGCGCATTGAATACGGCGTTTCCACTGCTTCCTAGATGTGTTCCAAGTATAATAGCGGGGGGACTTCAGAATATAACAACGTTTTTGCAAAGGGGTCGATTTGATAAAGTTGAAATAAGGCTGTTAGTGTAGTTTTTGGGGGTGATGCAATTATACAAATATACACGCTCTCCATTTTCTAAGTGCACAGCAAGGTGAGTAACTGTTGGGTGCCTTTCGTGTAAAGGGAAACCAAGGAGACGCCACGATGCGTCGTTACTGCTGACATAACGCCCTGCTTGAAAGGTCTGTACTTCATTAACTACATTGCTTGGTCGCTTCCTTTATTTATGTACTTACAGATATACTTGATTGCGCGGACAGAGCTACATGCCTCTACATTAATGTGGGCATTAAACGTTTTGCATAGAATGGGCGAATTCGGGACAATCCAGCTGTTATCTAAGGTTTCGGTCATTGTGCACTATTTCTTTTAAAAGCTGTTTAGGGAATTTCTTTGTACATTTGCCTTTTTCATACATGGCGATATTGAATTTCGTGCTAAACATGAACCGTGAATCATATTTCGGACGATACAATTCTTTATCTTGCTCAGGATCCGGAATCTCGGCGCTTATTATGTCGTCTTTTTTGGCTGGACCGCAACTTTCTCTTTAAGCCATATTAGAATGTGGGCATGCGGTAATCCTCTTTTTTGCCATTCAATTGAATACATGAAGCACTGCACCTCTCCGAAAATTTTCCCTTTGTTAATTACATACATTAATTTTTGTACTTTTAATCTAAATACTCTAGCAACTAAATCGTGTCTTTTTTTTTTTGCATGGGGAAATGCCTACGCATACCCGCCTCGCGGGGGTAAGGACGGGTTATGTCGGACTCGCACCGCCTAAAACCCCATGGTGTTCCACCTTTGTCGCATATTGGCAGGGCTACGGGAACGCTTTCGCACACATCCGCGGCCCTACTAGCGCCTGCCGCCCCATGGCAGCACCTCCTCGGGAGAGGAAAATTCCTCCCCGTTCTCCTTCCCAGGTAAGGCGCACCAGAACACATGGCGCGCCTTCCTCCACGGCCTCCAACTACGTCTGTGCAACAGACGCCCCCGCGTCCGATGCACAAAGGCCATGGGGCCTGGAAAAACGAGCACTTAGAAGTTTTAGCGTTCCCGACCCCAGCGGCGGATCTGGTCTATGGCTCCGCCGCCAACCAAGATTCGGCTGCGGAGGGTAGGGAGAGCGGCGCCTCGCAATACCGACAATCCTCTCCCCCCCGCAGCCCCACCACCTCCGCATCAACGGTGCGGCCCCGTTTGAGTCGCGAAGGATAGGGCGAGTGGCGCATCGCCATACCAACACTCCTCTTCCTCCGCGACTCCACCTCGGCTGCAGCGGTAGAGGGTGCGCGAGTCCCCACTCGCTGCAGTCCACCAGCACACATCCGAAGTGGGTTTACATTGGCGTCGCTAGAAACTGCATCTTGTAAATGTATATAATTTTCAACGCGCAGCTTTTTTGATTTAAAGATATATAACGGAGACGTTCACTTTCTACCTACACCGGGCTAAGAGGTTAAAATCATTTTCTCGCAACATCATATGATACGCATAAAAATCCATACATGATACATTTTTGTTCGGAGTAGGCTCCTTTGTGACCGGGTTAATGAGTGGAATTTGAAAATGATAACCCTCTTGTCCTTTGCAATAAATCAATGGGTATTGAAGAGCGTCAAAAAACTTGTGTGTATTGGCTACCCGTTGCAACGTATCATCACGTGCTCGCAAGACAATGTCTCGTGAAGAAAATTGATCACCACTAATTACGACTGCTATTTTGTTTATCAAAGGTGCATTGTAGCGCCTTTCATGCTCTCCTCGAGGGGTCCGATCTGCGTGAATGAAGACTTTATAATCCTCTTCAGGTAGGTTTTCTAAAGCACTTTTAAATGATTTTGACTAAAATGTTACGTTCATGCAAGAATCTCTGAATTTTGAACACTGTGTCTCTCTCAACTCCCTGGATACATTGGCAGCGACGGTCTACCTCAATTTCTTCGTCACCCATAAAATATACTTGCAAAAATGTATGCTGTTCGTTTATAGCTGGATAAAGTGAACCTTGCACCGTAAATGTAATCGAAAATCCCGGCATTATTATTTCCCGGTCAACTCCGAAGGACGTCATTTGAAAGCATGAGTTATATTTCCGGATCCTGTTTAAAAAGCGCCGTGACTCATTAGCATCATATAAAAAGAGAGTTTTCAAAGGTTCTTCAGGTTCCCCAAGTAACGGAAGAGACACTGCCATTGGAACAGCACATGTCTGCGGTCTCATCTTTCCATTTTAAAGCGCTGCAAAATCGACACACCTTATCTATCAGTCCGATAACAACTAACCTGTGATTTTTATAATCAATCAACGGATCATAATTGAATGCTGCGTCATTAAAAACCGACCAATTGTTTCTTTGAAAATTTTGTCGACGTTCAGCTTGGAGCTGTGCATTTGCATCTCTTCGCGCCTGTGTCTGTTCTGGTGTTTCAGATGCCCTTTTGATTGACGTTCAGCTTGCTCAATGAGTCTGTGTTGAGTTTCATCAGGTGTTTCCGCGGCTCTTAAGGCGGCGTGACGTTCCGCTTGTTCGAATAGCCTTTGCTGACTTTGATCAGGTGTTTCAGTAGCTCTTAAAGTAGCTTGACGCTCTGCCTGTTCAAGACGCCTTTGTCGACTTCGAGCAGGTGTTTCAGTAGCTCTTAAAGTAGCTTGACGCTCTGCCTGTTCAAGACGCCTTTGCCGACTTCGAGCAGGTGTTTCAGTAGCTCTTAAAGTAGCTTGACGCTCTGCCTGTTCAAGACGCCTTCGCTGACTTTGAGAAGGTGTTTCAGAAGCTCTTAAAGTAGCTTGACGCTCTGCCTGTTCAAGACGCCTTTCCTGACTTTGAGAAGGTGTTTCGGAAGCTGTTAAAGCAGCCTGACGCTCTTTCTGTTCAAGACGCCTTTGCTGACGTTGAGAAGGTGTCTCAGATTCTCTAAAAGCAGCCTGACGCTCTGCTTGTTCTTGCCTTCTCAGTTCAGCATCTAAAGATTCTAGCGATCAAGCTAATCTTTTCACTTGTCTTTGAGAAGATACTCTTGAAAGGCTGGACTTACGTTTGATCCATACATTTTTTATCTTAATTTTAGTAAAAAGACATAATAATCCAGACATTCTGACCTTCTGTGTTCGTCCATCGTACCGTCGTCCGTCTTATAGAATCACGGTGGCGTCACCCAGCTGAATTTAATTTTACAACATATTCCAATTTCCCACGGGAATGATATGTTTTTCCGCTGAAAAAAGTAACCTATGTAGTGACATGTAGAGTGCTACAGCCACCAAACTATCCCCATACAAAAAATCATGCCATGGCGACGCTCTGTTGCGACGTGAAAGAAGGACAAACTTTTGCTACATATTCTATTTTCCCACGGGAATGAGATGTTTTTCCGCGAAAAAAAGTTACCTATGTCACTCTACAGCCACCAAACTATCCCCATACAAAAAAATCATGCCATGGCGACGCTCTGTTACGACGTGAAAGAAGGACAAACTTTTGCAACATATTCTATTTTCCCACGGGAATGAGATGTTTTTCCGCGAAAAAAAGTAACCTATGTCACTCTACAGCCACCAAACTATCCCAATACAAAAAATCATGCCATGGCGACGCTCTGTTGCGACGTGAAAGAAGGACAAACTTTTGCAACATATTCTATTTTCCCACGGGAATGAGATGTTTTTCCGCGAAAAAAAGTAACCTATGTCACTCTACAGCCACCAAACTATCCCCATACAAAAAATCATGCCATGGCGACGCTCTGTTGCGACGTGAAAGAAGGACAAACAAACAAACAAACAAACACACTTTCGCATTTATAATATTAGTAGGGATATGGATAAGGAAAAATCGACATGTATCCTATACATTTAAACGAGCAATTCTTGTGTATATATATATATATATATGTGTGTGAAGATTTTTATGTATATATATATATATATATATAAATCGGAATCTCGGAAACGGCTCCAACGATTTTCATAAAATTTAGTGTCCAGGGAGTTTCGGGGGCAATAAATGGATCTAGCTAGGATTCATTTTTAGAAAACGTAGTTTTATCCATGTTTTCAGGCAATAAAAAACTGCTACAATATCGTTAGAATAAGAAGGTAAATTTTGAGAGCTTATTAATGATTATAAATAGCTTAATTGGTATATTTGGTGGTCACAAATCGTAATATCCTGGTTCGAGACCTATCTTCAGACTGACTTTTTTTAATTTTTTTTTCGAGTTCCCTTCTTTTTTGAGAAAATATATTATTTCGAGCCCTTTTTTAGTATTTTTTTAAAAAACACGTAAATTTATATTAAACTAATTGCACTCATGATTTTTTTATTCAAATAACCTGTTAATTTTTTTCTATTATGTCGCTAAGATCAAAAAATATTATTCGTATTTCATCAGTATGTAATTTGTATCAAAATATAATTTCCAAAACACACGAATTAAAGAAAAACCAAGCGAAAAATACCGAGCAAAGTTCGGTCAACCAGATACTTTCATTAAATTACGATAAAATTGTGGTAGGCCCATTCTACATACAAAAATTAATTGTCGCCATTCATATCTGAATTAGCTAAGAGATCCCTTGCCCTTCCCTACACTTGAAATTATTACAAAAAAAAAAAAAATATGCAAACAGAATGGTCGAATTTAGATTCTAGGCAATACTAGTACGTATGAAGAAAGCATGAAATATTTGACAAGATCTACTTACACATATAGCAATGTGTTTGCCCCACCAGGCGTCATATTGGTCACCACACCAGCGTTGGAGCCCAACGCTGCTAGCATAGTCTTCAACGCTGTCACATCGCCCCGCGTTACCAGCTCGCGGAGCTGAGTGTGTTGGTTCAGCCTCTCTCTTTCCAGGGCATCTGGAAAGATGATAGATTAAGCTTAACATAAATCCATGGTTCATGTTATTGTATGTAATCAGAACATAAGTTTAATACCCGGGACTCCTTTTTTAACAATTAAACACAGTCTACCTGATGTTAAGTGGATGCTGTGGTCAATAGACATCTACATCTATCCTCAAATTAGAATTCAAACGCAGATGCGTTGTCACCCCTGAGGACTAAGATGGAATGCCTCGTTTTCAGTAAAAAAGGGTCTACAGATCTCTACACTCACCATACGAACACAGCAGTATTAAGCTGCTATTTTATGCTGGTATTCTGTGAGAGCGTGGTCCTTCCCCCGGTCGAAATAAAATGTCCATATACTCAAGTAACTATTAATTAATTCATTACAGTCTATCAAAGTTCACACTGACCTCTCCATAGATTACATAATAAAGGGATATAGTTGCCACGTTTGGCAGGTGGGTTGACTCCCGCATTTTTTATTTTTTAGTTGTTACCCATCCACTTGTTTGTTATCCTCTACCGTCTCATATATCGTCAATACACGGTGATATCAACAAATACGTCATATTCGTATGTTGTTTACATTAGCAAAGTAAACAAAATTGGTAAGGTAGAACCAGAGTGATCGACATAGCCCAATGGATTAGTAAGCTGAAGTGGCAATGGACCGGCCATATAGCTCGAAGAACTGATAACCGATGGGGAAGAAAAGGTTCTCGAGTGGCAGCCTCGTACCGGTAGGCGTAGTGTAGTGCGACTCCCCACTAGATGGAGTGACGACCTGGTAAGACATGCAGGAAGTTGATGGATGCAGGTGGCTCAGGACCGTGCTTTGTGGCATACCTTGGGGAGGTCTATGTTCAGCAGTGGACTTGTGAAGGGCTGTAATGATGATGATGATGATGACTTTTTAAATAGGTTTTGTTTAGTGTTTAGCATATTTAACTGTAAGATAAAATAGTAAAAATTTAATGCAATTTAAAAATTATAAGGATTTTAGTAGGAAGTTATGAAACGTGAATTTATTTAATTTTTATTGTTAGATAAATAGGTACTTATAGCAAAAAGGAATTAAAAGTAATAATTTATTTAATACCAACGAACTTTATTACAATATTTAGTTGAAATTTTCTTCACCATCCAAGTATCTACTTACTTACTTATACCTAATTGTCTTTTGTATTTAAAATATTTTAATAACACTAAAATAAAAATTTTGTTTACTAACAAAATTTTTAACTAAATAGAATACGATTACATTTCTGTTAGGAATCACATTTTAAGTTTGTGTTTACACTATCTACCTTTTACTTCCGAGCCAAGCATCGCGATTTCCGAAGAATGGCCTTGCAAGTTGCATGCGTTAGGCATCGCAGAACTTACTCTTTATTGACATCCCTTAGTAACAACGGAAAGTCCGCCATAACGTAGGAAGGGGAAAAGATGCAAAGTAATACGGAAACTTTCGCGCAGCGATAAAGGTGGCAAGCAGTCAGAATCAAAGGACTGCAACTTCAGTACATACATACATATACATAAACACTCACGCCTGTCACCCAGAGGGGTAGGCAGAGACTACAGACTTCCATTTGGCACGATCCTGACACACCTCTCTCGCCTCCTTCACATCCATATACCTACGCATACATGCTTGTCGGTTAAGGGTACTCCTAATTTGGCCCGTTTTCAATAAATCGCCAATTTGGTCGATAAATTTTCGCCTAGGACGTCCCTTTCCGACTCTGCCATTCACTTCTGCAACATAAATTTTCTTTGTCACTCTTTCCTCATTCATTCTTTCCACATGACCAAACCACCGAAGCATTCAGTAAGTATTTCATATCTTCAGAACGTAGTACTGTTATTTGTTGTGCCATTATTCTATAAAAAAAAAACGTAAAATAGTTGAATTTTAAGTTGGTATTCAATAAAAGTGCGAACCTCATGAAAAATTTCTGCTACAACCGCCAATAACATCTGCTTGTGAATTGTACTAAGATTGATTTTATTTATTTAAAACAAAAATCTAAAAAATGTATTGTAATTAAAACCTAATCAGGTATAAATTCTAGGCATGAACGTATTGTTCTTAGTACGTTCATGATTCTAGGTTCTTATTTCAAGTTGGTTTCAGCTGTCCATGTGCTTAAGCTCCACGTTATACGTGGAATAAATAATAATAATGTCCTCCAGACTTAGTTTCGGTCATGGCGACCTGCCTCAACGGAGACTAGCCATCTGCACAGGACAGGATTACAGTGCACGAGTGTATGCGCAAGCACAGGTGCACTCTCTATTGCCTCACGTTGATGTCTTCCGCAAGGACTATGGTGTCCTGCAGGTCTCGGGCCTCGGGGTATGCCCCCATTACCCGTGTTTTCCTCGCGGTCCACCACTATGGACCGGTCCTGGGAGCCTTCTATTGCCTCACTCTGTCATAGTCCGATGGGACGGCAAACCGACACGACTGGAGAGAGGCACCGGGATGAAACCCCTTAACTCTCTGACTGGAAATTTCTTGTCATAAAAACCCAATAACTGTTTTTTTATAGGATAGGGCGACAAATGAGTACACAGTCCACCTGACTGAAGTGGTTGCTGTGGCCCATAGACATCTACATCTATCCTCGATTAAGAATCAAAATGCAAATGCGTTGTCACCCGTGAGGACTAAGATGGATTGCCTCGTTTCCAGTAAAAAGGGTTTCCGGATCTCTACACTCACCATACGAAACACAGCAGCATTAAGCTACTATTTCACGCTGGTATTCTGTGAGAGCGTGGTCCTTCCCCGGTCGAGCCGACCCATTCGTGCAAAACTATACTTACTACTAAGATCACTGCAGCATGTCTCTACCACGTATAAAATTTTGGCATAGAGCCGATAGAGACGACATTGTACACACACATGTAAGAAGTTCGGACGCACACATACCTACACATATTTATACAATATTAAAATTAAAAATTTTGTACAACCGACTTCAATACGACCGAATCAATGTAGTCGAGGTCAAATAAATGTGCGTTATTAAAGATAACTCAAAAACTACTAGTCAGATGTTGATAAATTTATATGGGGCCATACGAGAAGCATCAGCTTTCAGATAAAAAAAGAATCATCAAAATCGGTTCACCCTGAGATAAGTTCTGAGGTAACGCACATAAAAAAAACATACAGTCTTATTGAATACCTACTCCATTTTGAAGTCGGTAAAAATAGTAGAATCTAGCTCAATGAACTTCAAAACGTTGAACGAATGTTGAAATTTGGACTTTCTAATTTTTTTTACAAATCGCACCATTTTTATGTAAAAAGCTCCATCTAAAAAAATTTGCATGTCATAAGCGCAAAGCGCGTAGGTATGTTCTACGATCGCCTAAATATCAAGAATCCGACGTTTTGTCGAGTAAAATCGTATCTAACAATAATATTAAACAAATAAATGATATAAAAAGTCACACACATGAAAGTCAGTAAGATAAATGATTATTGAACTTATTTTTTTAATCGATTAATTGCTATTTTTACATTAAAAAATTCGCTATTTTTACATTAAAAAAAGTGGTTTTGGTGGCTTATGGTGTAGATTTATCACGTCCGCATGGAGGGGTAAACACAATTAACTTTTGAAAAGATCAATTGTTCAACTCAATCTATTTTTAATCTATTCATCTATCATGTGGGAAGCCATGGTATGTAAATGGTTGTTTAATTATAATTTGTTTATTTATAATTAATTTTTTCCGGCTGAGACACTCCGATATTTTCAGTGTCTGAGCTGCCTTGTAAAAATATATTTTACTAAATACAGATATATTTAGTCGTGAGTGGGTTACAGTGTCGTTTGTTTACAGCGACTCGTGATGAAAAATATCGATCGCTGTAGAAATGCAAAATATTCCAAAAACCAAATTTGATACATACTTGACCAAGGTAAGCTATTATTATTATGTTTATAATCACATACTTCAAAATGTACAATATATGGTTTCGCTAAAAGTACATAGGATTTATACATAAATATACTTATTACACGTGACTTTATGGAGCGACCTGAAGGTGTACTTTGATGAATGCTAAATTAAAATAATTTATGACTAGATGAAAAACTTTTGAAAAGGAAATAAAGTTGATTATAATTTTTTTTATTAACGAATCAGGTAAACAAGACTATTTTTTACGATAACGCCTGAGTACAAATGCCTAAATATTAAAGTAATATTAAAGTTGATTTCTGATCGTTTTAAGTTAAGATAATACTGTTAAGTTTTTGCAACTAACAAAAATAAAAGAATGATTCTCAATAATAATAACATAGTAAAATTAAAAAATAAATATTTTCTATTGTTGATTGAGATAGAATTAAGGTTATTTGTGAAAACTTGTGTGTATTTAAAATACTTAAAAAAATTACGTAAGTAGAACATAAGCGCTTAAGGTTGGATTGCACATTTGGATTTACCGAAAGTTTTAAAGTCTCCAATGGAAGTCTCGCCAAAGTCACATAATTTTTTTTTGGGATGTTAACATAATGTACTCCACTATAGCCTTTAAACGAGCAATTCTTGTATATATATATATAATCGGAATCTCGGAAACTGCTCTGACGATTTTCATGATTTAGTGTAGGGGGTTTCGGGGGCAATAAATCGATCTAGCTAGGATTCATTTTTAGAAAATGTCGTTTTATCCATGTTTTTAAATGAAAAACTGCTACAATATCATTAGAATACGAAAGTCAATTTTGCCGGTGCCCACAAAGTTATAACAGCTCAAATGATATATCGGGCCGTGCTGAAGTCATAGAACGCCGGTTCGAGTCCAAATGTCTCCGGTCTGAATCTTTTTCCTTTTTTTCCTTCTTTTGTGAGCAAATATATTATTTGGAGCCTTTTTTTAAACACGAAAAATAATGATTGAGAAGATCCAAAAATTTTATTAATATTTCATCAGTTTGTTATTCGTATCTGAATATAATTTGCAAAAAATTCCTAAAAAAAAT